ATTCGCTACAATTCGATTGGATAAAAAAACACACAATATCGCTGTGACTATTCAAGAGCACACGCAGGTCGCGTCGTGTTGTAACCTGCTCCAGCCAGTCTGTCAGTTGTCTTTCAACAGTCGAAGTGCAAGGATGTCTTTCTCACAACTACGAGTGTTCATTCTCGTACATAACCTTGCATCTCGTTCTTACTTAACTCGTAACAATGAGTTTAGGAGTACAATTCCCGATTCTTGTACGCCAAACAAATCGACCGTGTCTCGTCTCGCGAACCGTTTCCTTGACGCAGGAAATATTTACTGGGTTGCATCAAATACGAAAACAGGAAAAGTGTGAATGCATCCATCGCTGAACGCGGTGGACATTTCAAAAACTTAATAGAACATTTTTTTATGATTTAAGTACATTATTTTTGGTAGAAGACGAATTTCTTCATGAGTTACATCATCTCACGTAGAGCTACATATTATCTGTAACTGTGTCCGCGAAATGTGATAAAAATTATCTTGAGTTAACGTTGTTACCGGCTGTGCTTTTGGCAATGACTGATAATTAGTACCTACTGCTACCGCCATATCGTTTAGTGGTTTCACAATAGGTGGCATGTGGTATTCGCAGTGCCAACTGAATGGGTCACTGAACGTTTTGTAAGTCTTAATCAAATACTCCGTGACTATTTTTTCGTAATTATTTACTTTGGTTTTCGATATTTTAAGGTCGATATAATTCAAGATGGCGATAGGTCGTTTGTGATTGTTAGTGGTAGAACTTGTGGTCTAAAGTAATTTTATAAAATGGGGAAAGGCTTCAATAATTATATGTGCAAGAAATTCTTTCATCCTGCGTCTAGAGACAATTTAAAAAGGGTAATGGTTTAAAATATTAATGATGTGTTTGGATATCTTGTCAGAGTTGATCATTCAGCTTCATAGAAATAAGTTGAAGTACCATACAATATCGTCTTATTCAAATGATACTATTGCATACGCTTTGTTTATAGGTCTGGATGGCAGAGCAGAAGGCAGAGTCTTATAAAAAGAAGCAAGAAGAATTGAGAGTTCAATATGAAAAGGAACAAGATTTGTACACAAATAAGTATGTTCTTAATGCACTTTCCACACTCTGAAAGTTATAGATTGTAATTGCATGGTCTGTGGTAAATATAGTTCCGATGTATGAATTCATAGGACACGTGTTGTACATGACAGGAAGCTACCAGAGGGGATATTTTCAGTAATGAACGAAATAAGAGGTTTAATTGAGTCAAAATTAAGGGACTTTATAATTTTTTCCCTATTATTTCCTAATGAGATTGTATTTAATAGCCAGATAACTCAAATATTTATGTAATATGCAAAGACATTGTGTGATTCTTCATCATTCGTAAGTTTGGCACATATGTAAATACAGTTTCTATGTGGTAGAAATTAAATTGTGAGGTAATTGTCAGTTTGAGTGTTGTCTTTGTTTAAAGTTGAAGTGGCATGAAAATAGTATCTAAGGTTATGATTTAGTTAATACATACATTAACAGGTAAGTTCAAGGATGCAGTGAGTGTTGAGCATTGTGTAGTGAGCGGTAGTGATGAGTGATGTCAGTATTGTAGTGAATATTGTCCTTGAAATGGCATTGGCTGCAACAGTTTGCAGGTTGTTGCATATAGTACTGGTATAAGAACACAGTGTAGGATTGAGTGGTTTCATCACATGCTCCTGATTGTTTTCCTATACATATCTGTTATGCATCCAGTTTAGTTTTTAAAAGAACAGTACCAAAGTAACTGGTAATGGTAACAACTATGATGCTTCTCCATGCTGTGTTTGAAATTTTGTTCATGGTTGATATACATTTGCAACAAGCAAATTTTTGCAGTTTTGGATTAAGATCAGGATGCTCATAATTCCACAAAGGAGGTCTTGCTTGCCCTTCACAAACAATATTTCTTGGTATGAACTAAAAAATGTTGCTTTTTGTTTTGACATGTTTTGTCAGTCTTGACACATCCAGTATGGAGACTGAAATGGTAAACAATGTAGCGCTATTGTTCACAATTTAAGGTGCGTAGAAAGTCAACATAACCCAATGCCATCCCACATCTCTACGGCTCAGTGCTCAAGGTCATTGTACACACTTTCTTCAAAAATGCATATTTGAATTATTTGTGACAACACTCATCATTTGCCACTGTACATGTATGCTAAAGGCTTTTGATGACTGTGTCCTGCAATAAGCTGAACTGTTATTTTAGTCTGTGTCCATTTTTTTGATATTTGTTAAAAAAGCAAAGAAGTAATGAACACGACGGACAGTGTCCAAAATAACGGTCTGGGTTATTGCAACATTAACATTCTTTTCTAACAAGTCATTAAATTTGGGGTTTGTGGCATACGTTCCTAACACAATTCATTTGGTAAATTGAATGGTTTGTAGGGCTAATAGCTTACCTGTAAACACAGCCTTCATTCAGCTGCAGGTTTATGTTCCCACCAATCAGTAAGGCTGTTCAAAAACCGTTTTCTGTACTTAATGCATTTTATCACATTTCATGTATGAGCCACCACCTGGTACGAAGAAGGAACGAGAAAGAGAAGATGATGAACCAGAATATAAATTTGAATGGCAGCGAAAATTTAATGCACCAAGAGAGGAGTATGTATATTTCTTAAGCTTATTCCTAACATAGAAGTTAAGAGATTTGGAAGTTCACCGGACCTTAATTATTTTACTTGTTCGTTGTAGGTATCTTTGTGCATTCATGTCTCTTTCTTTATAACAGTTGTCTGTATCACCTGGAGGATATTCAGAATTGTGAATATAGTGCATGCGTTATGATTTTTGCCTGGTGAAGTCTGATGGAGAACAAAATGCATGCAATTGAAATTTCTAGAAATTGACTAGACTTTGGTCTAGGCAATGGATTAAATTTCATGTATGGTCTGAGATATTTCTCCTTGCTATGACATCCAGGCTGATAATGGGGCCCACTCATATTTCTACCCATTGGGTACCTGGCAACCTTTCTCAGGAGTACGACGTGAAGTGTGTGGAGAGAAGCTTCACCAATGTTAATGCATGGATTTATACCTCCACTCCTCCATACAGCTACATGGTGTGATGTATAACATGTTTGTTAGGACACGAGCAGTAAGATGCTCAAGAGGAAGGGTAACAATGCTGTTTATTAGTGGTAGTGGTGCACATAGGGGAAGGTTTGCTATCTAATGCTATGCACAAAAATATAAGTATGGATTGAAATACCATTAATGGCTGGTGAAAATTTTACTCAAACTTGTTATTCCATTTAATTCACCATGTTTTCTGCTACTTCCTGACTATTGCTGCAATTGCAGTTATCACTGTTGTTTTGTAAATCAAGTACAATTTGTTCTGAAATGTCAGAAAATAGGTTCCAGCTGCAAGTAATTCTGTTCAACTGATGTGAATTGTTGCACCTCGAGCTGTGTTCTTCCTTCGTGATGATGTTGAACTTTTCCTCAGGTAGTTTCGTAGCATGATCTAGATGTAAACCGACATCCTTTCTGGCTACACATGATTTAACTGACACTCATATCAATTCAGTCAGATTAAGATTAGCCTTGTTTGGCAAGTGGAGTGTCAATTTTGAGCTTCTTGAATTGTGGCTTATGTAATTTAATTAAATAATATAATTCAGGCTGACACAATCAAACACTGAAAGGAATGCCATGATCTGAAAGCCAGTTGATCTTAGCTTTTCAAGATGAAGGAGTTGGAGCCAGATTCATTTGTACTTTATGATAAGCTGCATTGTCCACTAATATTACCGAATTTGGCAGAAGGTTTGAATTTACTTCATTTTTAGACATATTTCACAGATATTAAAATTTAGACGGATGCATGTAGACCTGCATTCTTACCATCACTCCAGGCAGGAGTGTATGGATATGGTGCCCCTGAATTCTGCAACAGCTTGTTTCTCAAATGTGCCGGTCTTGCTGCATGAATTACGTCAATTTTGATTGGAACATTTCTTTTCTGATATTTTTCCACCAGAGGCCTAAATATTTAATTATATTGCAAAGATTCCACTTTCCACCACTGAAATTAATCATTTTCATGTGTGCAGTTAACGATTATAAAGCAGGACACTCACCTTTTGTAGCGTGAGGTTTTTTAATCAATCTTCGAATTACACACTAGTCAAAATCATGTTTTCTGTTTTAATTTTCCTTCTTGGCCATTTTTTATGAAATGTGTTGATGTCCTCCCCCCGCTTGTCTGTTATGATCATAATATTTTACTGTGCACTTCAGACTGCTGAAATACACCAGCAGCTTGAGAGGGGAGGTAAGAAGTGTAAGACTAACATGTTTGCAACCCAAATTAAGTACATAATTCCCTTAACTGTAGATCATAGATCAAAGAGCTGGGTTGCCCATGCTCTGAAGAAGAAGCTTGACAGGTACTTCTGTATTTGGAAAATTAATCTGTGGAGAGATGTATTTGGTAAGTTTGTCCCACTACACGCCATGTAGGCGCATTGGGGGAGTGGAGGTATAGCTCCTACTTTTTCCTGACCTCGGCACTAGATGGGGGTGAGTGGTCAGCATCGCGCCCCGGCCGGCTTTACCCCCGGGAAAGGATCCCGGTACCCATTGTAGAGGAGGCTGGGTGGGCCCCAGAGCCGGTCTGGACGCAGAGGCTAGAGGAAAAATCCTCTGCCCCCGTCGGGGATCGAACCCCAGTCGTCCAGACCGTAGCTAGTCACTATACTGACTGAGCTATCCCGGCTCTGAGATGTATTTGGTAGTATGTTAAATGTAAATATTCTCCATGTTTCAGTTACTGCAAAGGTGATTCAGAAATCAGGGATCAACCATTTGGCATCCAAGTTCGCAATGTACGGTGCATCAAGTGTCACAAATGGGGTCACATTAATACAGGTAAGGAGGCAGGCTTAGTGTTTAGGCACTCTGTGATGTCGGAGAATGTGTTTCTTATGAGAAATTAGCTGATGTTAGGCTTTGATGGAGATTTCATGTTATTGTTGATTTTGCTCTTGGGTGTTGACACCAAGCAGGACCTTCAGTCACTTCATTCATACCCTCGGCTCACTGGTGGTCAGCTTTGATGTGGTACTGTATTGCTCCTCGGCCAGGTTTCTCTTGAGGAAATATTGGACCAACACTTTCGCAAAGATGGTTCTGTGAGCAGGAGGATGGAGTGGGCATGGGGTCTTCAACTATCCCACATCATAGCCAACAACTGTATAACACATTCTGAGGCACAGGTGGTGTTTCTTAAGGTTTGTTACAATAGAGTGGGAAGAAGGAGGTCATCCGCCATTCCTGGCTGGACGTTGACATTTACAGAGTCAGAGTCGGTTCTTGGGCACAAACTACAGGAAGTACTTGAATGGCTGCTGTGTTGCATCACCATCTGCCCCAGAATTTTGGCATCATCTGAACCTTGATACTTAGGTCAAGCTACATAAACCTTCTTACTGAACTAGCTTACCAGAGAAGAACTTCCAAGGAAAGCAGGTTCTCTGCATAATATTCTGCCGCAACAGGGACTGGCTCAATGAAATAGCATCCAAACAAACCCTTCAGCACTGCATTTTATCATTTGTGCAGAATCTGTCCAGCCACAATGGCAAAATACTGGTGTGATACTACATCCATCTTATCATGACAGCCTTGGTCTTAAAGCTACTGGAGGTTACTTGTGAGTATGGGGCTTTGTTCATAGGTGAGATTAGTCACGTAATAGAAGAATGATGAAAGGATTAGCAGAAGACCTATGGCTCTGCTGTGCTTTGTTGTTTGGTCATACAGGGCTACCAGATACAGTTTGACTACACAATGGTAGGAAGCTACTTTATAAGCCTAGCATCTTCAAACCAAATACTTCAGGAACACAGGATACCACAGAGGGCCAGTAACAGCTGCACAAACTCTATAGCTTGAGCCACTCATCCATCCTGAGTACCATCTGATCATGTGGGGTGTCACCACCACATCACTTTTGGGTCCTCTATAATGGCTGTTTTTTTGATGTTCTTGGGTTCTGTCATGAGGAAGGAACAATATGGGTCTGTCCATACGTGACTCGCTGTCTTGTCACATTTTTTGGGTAATGGACTGGAGGATTTCAGAATTCTGATGTAATGGATATAGCAGTGATTTTCAGACCGATCTTTGTGGACTTTGCTGTAATGACTGTAATATAAGCCAGTCATTGTGTTGAATAGTTTTAGGATTAGTGTGTTACCTGTATAAGATCTGAAGTTCTCATTGCAACTTATTGCAGTGAAGTCTTGCTCATAAGAATGGAGTTGTGATCACAACTCACGTGGCTGATCATGTGAGAAGACATCATTGCATGGGACACCTACTTTTATGTAGATCAGTTGTTAGATCATCAAAGTATTGATAGAGGAGGACCTGTGTGTTATACTGGGTTATCAGTGATGTGCTATGGCAGTGTCTTTATAAGATGGTGTCTGGAGTCGATTAATAAGTTTCTACATTTCACCGATAATGAGAGTATTCATTCAATGCCCTCCCAAAGCTTTTAGGATTGTGTCTGCCGGGCTAAGACATCTGTAACTCTGTGGAAGAGCCATCTATGAAACAGTTTTTTTTCCATATTGGAATACTGAGACAGCTACAGTCACCTGTCATACCATTAGATATTTGTGAGAAGAATTACTGCTGTTTTTCTGAAGTCTTGGCAGAAACTTTGCTAGGCATGCCATCTACGCCCATTAGTCTGTTAAAATGCAGTGCAGGAAATTAATAATGCCAGCTTATTTGATCATTGTAGGAATGCTGTTGAGTAGAAATTCTGATCAGAAAACATTGCTGTGCACTGTATGTGTGAGGGACACAGTGAAGTGATGTGAAAAGTGTGATGTTGGAGTGTGTTTGAACTGTTCTGGAGACTATCATAAGCCTAGTTTGTTTCTTAAAGAGAAGAATGTTCATATTGTTGGTACAAGTAAGACTGTTTCTGTTTGCAGATAAGGAATGCCCAATGTATAATCAGGCATCAAGTTCTGACCAGGCAGGTGATTCATTGGATCCATTGATTCTTGTCCAACAAATGAGAGAGGACGGTCTTGCTATGAAAAGGAGTGCTCTTAGTATTCCACAGCAGATGAGATTCTCTAGAGATCAGGTAAGATACGTAATTAAAATGTTTTGTTTATAGCTTCTGTCAAGTTTTGTAAATGTTTGGCACATTTGGAATTAGAGTGCAGTATGAAACCCAAACTCATTAGCTTCAGAAACTCAACATCTCGGTGCTATAAAGTACACTGGAGGAATGTAAGCCGAGATGATCGTGACAGACGCTCATTCCGGGATGAGAGCGTCAGTTCACGTGTAAGAAATAATCCTGATGCATCCAGATTATGATTGTGTTGACATGACTTTTTATTATGGTCTGTGACTAAAATAAAGATGTAACAAGTGCATGTACTGTTTGTTTTCAGGACCTTATTCCAAGTGAAAATGAAGATGAGGAATCAAAAAAGTCTGAAATAGAACTCTTGAAGTCATTATCAATGAAGCAGAAACGAAGGCTACTTAGGTAAGCGTATAATGGTTTATATAGAATTTTCTTAATAGTTGCATAAATGTGCTAGATTTTAATCATCCATTGACCATCAGTTTCTTCAGTTATGGTCTTCTGTATCTTTCCGTAGAGGCTGTTTGAATGTGCAATTACTGAAACGTTCCTTTAGCCCTTTTACTGTGACATCTACTGAAGCGTTTTATTGCATTCATGTTTTCTTGTGTAAATTGATAAAAGTCGTTGGCTGTCAGTGTTTGCTTGTCATTAGGACATTGAGGATATTTTCTGGCTGCCTACCATTTTGTTAAGCCACCTACAGTATCACAAGGATTTTTGCCATGATTGGCAGCAAAGAATTACTGCTCTGCAGAAATTTCAACATTGTTATGATTTATGCAATTGGTAACATTTTTATTTTTCTTGTACTGTGATGCAGCTCCTATCTTTCTCATTTTTCTCTCCAGCGTCTTGACATACCGATTCTTCTGAAAAGTATAAAATGTGCTTGTTATGTTCAAAGTCCTTCTTACCATGACACAGCAGTTTCTCTTCACTAACAACACAACATCTTCATGATGTCAAAGCTTCCAAATTGGGCCATTCACTGTTCATGCAGGGAGAAAATGACGAGCACAGCAAGTGTAATCAACCATGGGATAGAAATTTTCATTTGTCGTCCTGTCATCTGAAACTTTCCTGGCATGATACAGAAATTTTTCTTTCAAATGTGCACATGTGAGACAAGGGTTGGAAATAATTAGCAGAAATGTACACAGTATGTAAGGAAACAGCGACTGTTACCTCTTAACATTTTAATATAGTTATTGTTTACCCAACATTTTTTACATAACTGGAGTTGTATGTATTCTTAATACATATTTACAAGTGTACTTTTTAATGTATTTGAAAAATAGCAGCCTGTAATCAGACCAAGTTTATTAAAGTAGAAAACTCATTTGTTGAGTTGGCATGAACTGATTCTTTTGGTTACAATGTGCAGAATGTTGTTAAGTGGTACAATTTACTTACCACTTTGTTCTGACATTTTACCACAATTTTTATACATTATTAAAAGAAACTTTGTATATTAATTTCATATCATACTTTCTGTGAATGTTATATTAAATTATTTTATCTCTGTTTATTAGGAAACTTGACAAAATGTTGAAGAAGAACAAGAGGAGCAAATCCAAGAAGAGGAAAATGAGGAAGTCTGAACAGACAGCAAAGGATAGTGAGAGTTCAAGTAGTGAAACACCTAAGGAAGAAATAAAATCACATAAGGAGAAAAGAAGAGTGAAGGAAGACAAAAATAAACAAAGAGAAAGGCATTACAAAAACATAGTAATCAAGAAGAACAATCGACATTGAGCAGTGGAGCACAATCACATAAGACTGTAAGAAGTTCATGGTAGAAGCATTGATTTTGTTGGCCACCTCAGTATGCACCAGTGGCATCAAGCAACTTGTGAGAGAACATCTAATCGGGAATACAGAAAGACTGCCAGACCAAAAGTACAGCATGTTTCAAAAGTAGCTTTAAAACTTGAGGGCGAGATATTGGTGAACTGATAGGAGAAACATATAATTTCAGAACATAGAAATGTAGTCAAACACTTCAAGTTTTATGTCCATCAGATTTTTATGGTTCAATGTGACTTCCATTTGTTATGTAGTCAATTTCTTGCCACACGCGGTGTAGCATCTCTGGTGTCACTTCAGCAACTGCGGTGGTAATTCGAGTTCGGAGTTCGGCCACATCTGCAGGTAAGGGTGGCACGTACACTCGATCTTTAACAAATCCCCACAAGAAAAAATCTAAAGGTGTTGGATCCGGGGAACGAGGTGGCCGTGCTATTGGTGGGGCCCAACTAATCCACCGACCCGGGAAACGGTTGTTGAGGTACTCGCACACTTCTCTGAGGTAATGAGGGGGTGCACCGTCTTGCTGGAAGTGAATGCGTCCTTCCTGGTCATCTTAGTCAAGTTGAGGAATGAGGAACTAGAGGAACTATGCAGCCATCTTCATACTCAGCACTGTGAGAACCACAAATCCAATGAGACAAGTAGAGCTTATAAGCATGTACAAACACATTAATAGTTCAGTGCAGAAATAACCTTCATGACAGTTTCCAACAGGTCACTCTTTCATATTTTATGTATTTTTCCCATCTGAGCTGGCAATGATGGCATTAATGTGTTGCAGCTTCAGTACTCCGTTTCAACTGAGGATGTAACCGTCTTGATATCGCCACATCGCCATGGGAAGACTGGATGGGTGGGGAGTCCAGCTGATGTCCCTGAAGCAAGAAATACCTTAGTATGGAACTGACATGCTCATTTGTGTAAATGTCTTGTGAATGGTTTACAGTGTCAAATTCATTGTGTTCGCTCAGTATTTATGTCAAGGGCCAGTGCGTGTCAGCACGGACTTTACCGCACGCATCCCTTACTCACGCACAAGCGAAATGTGGACGTGCCGACAAACTCGGCAACCTCGCATCAACAGAGAGTTTGTTATCTGTCCACACATAACGCACACTTACTTTTAAAACTTGTCAATCAATTAAGTTTTTAAAGTTCCTTATGTGGACAAATAACATACAAAGTGGGCTGTTTTTCTAGTAATGTCGCTGAAAGTTCTTAAGCAGAGAGAAAGTATGCAAATGTTAATGCAATTTAGGATCTTAGATTATAATATCAAGACAAAGGGATGCAAAACCAGTGGCACAAAGACAACATTGTAATGTATGAATAACTGCACACTGGCCAGTTCATTCAAACTAACCACTGCAGTGTTACCACCTGTTCTATGTATTGTTGACCACAGCATCTGTTTTTATTCTGTGCAAGTGTCATTTTGACAAAAAGCAAATTACTAATCTTGTTTTCTCACATAAGCATTATTTGCAGTGTCATTAAATGTCCATTTCAAAGTTATGCATGCAACTGAAATTAAACCTCTCAGTTCCTGAACATCAGACGTGTAGTTACAATTAAGACTGTTCTGACTATGTAGGAGATGGGCCTCTCACGGCAGTGAGCATGAAGGCGGCTATCTTCTGGGTTGTAGCACCATGTAGTCTGGTAGAAGTTTGCCAACGTTTCAGGGATCATGGATTTTTTGGGGGGCGGGGTTTAAGACATCTGTTTCAATTAGGTTACGCAGTTATTTGGTATACTCATTACGTTAGTTAGGCGTATTAAATGAGTTTAAATGAACCTTACAGTAAAGTGTGTGTATAGGTAAACGTGTGACGTATTTCCTATTCAAAATTTTCTAAAGCGGGGAGAGATTTTTTATCACCATTGCTTTCCTACTTTGCTTTAAAATATGGCATTAGGAAGGTCAAGAAAGTCAGGTGGGACTGAAACTGAATGTGACACATCAGCTTCTGGTCTATGCTATTGATGTAAATTTACTGTGGGATAACATAGATACCATAAAGGAAAACACAGAAACTGTAATTGACGCTTTTTAAGGAGTTTGGTCTAGAAGTAAACAGAGAAAAGTGAGTATAAGTTGATGTCTTGTCACCAGAACGCAGGGCAAACTTGTTACATGAGGATAGCTAATGGATCCTTTGAAAATGTGGCAAAGATATTTGGGCGCAACTGTAACAAATAAAAATTTTATTCGCGAGGAAATTAAAGAACATTGAATTCAGCTTGCTACCATTCAGTTTAGAACTTCTTGGATTCCTGAATACTGTCTAAAAATGTGAAGATTAAATTGTACAAAACTATAATTTTGCCTGTAGCTCTGTATGGGTGTCTGACACTAAGGGAGGAACGTAGACTAAGGGTGTTTGAGAATGGTGCTGAGGAGAATATTTAAACCAAAGAGGGATGAATTACTCAGAGGTTGGAGAAAGTTACATAATGAGGAGTTTCTTAGCTTGTACTCATCACCAAATATAATTAGATCATGTCAAGGAGGGTGAGATTGGCAGGGCATATGCCCTGCATGGGAGAGAAGAGGAATGCGTACAGGGTTTTGGTGGGTAAACCAGAAGGAAAGAGACTATTGGGAAGGCCCAGACATAGGTTACAAAATAATATTAAAATAGATTGAAGATAAATTGGATGGAATAGTGTGGACTGGATTGATCTGGCTCAGGATAGGGACCAGTGGCAGGCTCTTGTGAACATGGTAATGAACCTTCTGGTTCCATAAAATTGGAACTTCTTGAGTGGCTAAACCAAAACTACCTGTTCTTTCTGAAGGGAGATGATGTTGGAGGTGGGTGGAGATGAGAGGGTTTGCCCTGCCCAATAATTAGTCACACTCCAATAAAATACAATATATTAACAATGATTAAATTAATAATAATTACAGTGAACCCAAGAAAAGTAATTGAGGCACATAAATCAAATTAATCAAGCAAAGCAAACAGAATCTTGAGTGGCTGAGTGACTTGGCTCCATGGAGTAAGTTCCCTCACCCCACTGGTGTCATGATGTAAAGATTTCCTGCATTATCATCCCCCCCCCCTCCACAGTAAGAGCCAGGATTTCCTTGTGTCCCTCCACTGCATTTCCTTAGTTTTGCTCTTTCTTACCTTCATATTGTTCTCATAAAGTATTTGCTGGTCCACTTTCATGGTTCTGGCTTCCTTCTTTCCACTCCGACCCCTTTGGCCTGGCTCTGGTCTGCCCCTCCTCCTGTGGGCTCCCTTGCTGTCTCTGTCCTCACCCCATTGGTCTAGCCAAGGTTGTACCTCAACCTACTGGTTTCCATATCTCAGACCAATTTCTGGCATGAGACTCAATCATCATCCTGATGATGAAGGCAATTGGCACCTCTGAAATATTGGTAAACTGCACTACCAGACTACAGAGCCTTCCATATAATTAACACAGATTCTGTCGCATTATTGTTTGACCATCGAGCGATTTGGCACGTAAGGTGAGAGACTGGTCAGTTGCTGATTTGTTGATTGGTGAGTACATGATTCCATAAAACTGCAGGAATTTTGTGGTACTAAATGGGGTGGAAAGATGATGTGTAGAGTTAACTTGGAAGAATTGGTGTGGATGTTTCGCTACTGAATGTTGCTAATCTCTAGTCATCATTTATTCTCATACTAAACATGGTTGTAATGTGATGACATAATAGGACACATGAGAGCATTTTTAGTCACCACAACCAAAGTATTCCAATTTTCCTTTACATTTCCAATATTTTGGCAAATGCAGGTAATTTAAATTAGCTGGTCTGTTAGGTTTCCCACATTTGTAGATCCAGTTGCATTTCTGTTGGTTTCTCTCGCTGCACTGCAATATATTATAAACTGTGTTGTCAGACTGTGATGTATGTGGCCGGCAATCCAGAGAAGGAACGAAGATCTAACTTCTTGTATCGCCCTTGGGCACAGGAAGCTGTGTGTCATTATTTCTGCGCTCCAGTGCAACAGAAATCAGCAGAACCTAAACAGACTTTGGGTATTCACAATGTTTAAGATTTGGAAGACTTAGCATATCTTGTAGGGTGATGAAATTAGTGAAGTTTAAGGTCTGATTGTAAGTTGACCTGCGTTCGCAGACATTGAACCCTTCTTTCTCTTTGTCATTATTGTATTAGGATGTTTATGCCATGAGCATGAGGAACTGCAACCTACCGTGCATATTATAGTAATTTTCTGACAGTGCATGGGCTGTGATATCTTTCTTGCAGCAGATGTAGAAACCTGTACTCTCTGAAATTGTGAGGTGGCTATGGTGCATAAATGTTAAAAGATACCTGGTAAAGGCACCATATAATGTCGTATCTCTACCTTCTGCAGGTGTATGGAAACATAACGTAAAAGTTAGATTGGTCTTGTGAGTACCATGTAA